TTACATTTTTGATTTTGGGTTTAATACAGCTTTAGTGTTCAAATTACAACCTTAGTTTTGTTTTGTGGGTTTTTTTTTATTTATTTTTGGAAACCCCACTAAACCCTTGAAGGGGTTAAATGAAGGCACAGTAGTTAAAGCAAGCCATCTGCTTCTCTCATTCACATTGGTTTTGCACAGGTGATCTCTTTAATGAGGAGGTAGTCCAAAGAAAGGAATGTACATGTTTGCTAAAGGTGACACATTATTCTGACAGGATCAAACAGAAAAAAACAACCATACCTGGAACACATCCCAGACAATAGCAATTCCAGCTCAGTCCAGCTCACCCCTCTGCAGCAGGTTTGTAGCACCCAGAAATACTACATTAGATTCAAAATAGAGTGCAGCAAGAAAATGAACTGAGAGATTTTTTTATCACTAATGCAGTAGAGTAAAATAATATGTGTAATAATCCAATGTTTGGCACAAAAGGGAAGAGGTAGGGAATGCAAGAAGACAATTCAGATCTACAACCCAACAGATGGTTATACAGTATATAAAATGAGGGTAATGGGATAGGTTGTGGGCTATTGGACTAAAACGTCTATATGTACAAAAAGTCCTTGTATGTAAGTCCAAAGATGAATAACTTCTCCTAATGGATGTGGGTCCCTCAGTGTATGGATTAAATGGCAGCCAGCTGTCAGAGCAAGAGGCAACTCTAATGCACAGAAGGAAAGAGGACACACAGCGGTGCCACTCTAACCCCTGGTTCACAAAGCGGGCCATGCTTTGCGCGGGCACGAGAGTCCATTCATTTGAATGGACTCCCGTGCCCCGTGACACACAGGGAAGAAATCCCTACACTTCTTCTGAAAATGCAGCCCGCACAGGAACTTTGGTTCCCAGTATGGTTGCTTTTTCCAATGCGAGCGACATTCCATTAGAATAATTGTACTCGCCCACGTGTCCGCATTCCTCTGTGCGGGTGGTGCGGCTGCACGGATCTTTGTGCAAATCCGCAGCCGCACCACCCGCACATATGTGAATCTAGCCTAAGTGTAGATGTGCCTAAAACCAAAAGTTTCATAAGGTAAACAACTCACAACGATAGTGTAAGATCGCATGTCAATAATAAGTCACTCTCGGTGAGAATTACTTATTATTGACATGCGATCTTACACTACATCCTTGTGAGAAATGACAGAGAAGGGCAACTAAACTGATAAGAGGCATGGAGGAGCTCAGCTATGAGGAAAGATTAGAGGAACTGAATTTATTCTCTCTTGAGAAGAGGAGATTAAGGGGGGATATGATCAACATGTATAAATACCCATCAGTGGTTCATATAGTGAACTCTGTGTAGAGTTATTCACCCTGAGGTCATCACAGAGGACAAGGGGGCACTCTTTACGTCTGGAGGAAAAGAGATTTAATCTCCAAACACAGAAAGGTTTCTTCACAGTGAGAGCTGTGAAAATGTGGAATAGACTCCCTCAAGAGTTGGTTCTGGCCAGCTCAGTGGATTGCTTCAAAAAAGGCCTGGATTCTTTCATAGATACACAGAATATAACTGGATACTAACATTTATAGGTAACGTTGATCCAGGGAATATCCGATTGCCTCTCAGGTGATCAGAAAGGAATTTTTTTCCCAGCAGGAGCAAATTGGATCATGCTTTATTGGGTTTTTTTTGCCTTCCTCTGGATCAACTGTGGGTATAGGATTATAACTTTTTTTTTTTTTCCGATGGTTGAACTGGATGGACTTTTTTCAGCCAGACTAACTATGTCACTATGTGAGTTGTTTTCCTTATTAAACTTTTGGTTTTAGGCACATCTACACTTCCGGTGGTGCCGCTGTGTTTCCTCATTCAATAATCCCATGTTGGCAGACATTGCCATTAAATTGTACTAGGATGCATTGCTGATATGTGGACCTTGTTCTGTGGAAAGGTCACACAGCCTGAGGCCTATGGTGACAACATTTTCTGCTCTACAGTTTATTATTTCATGGTCATTTTTTAAACATATGATATAACAAGAACACAACAAATCAAACAGATCACTGTGAAGTCATTAATCTATGTCATTGGCTCTGTAAAAAATGGCATATTTAAAGCCTAAGTGCAGCCAAAATAAAAAAAAAATAGAAAGTTCACCACAAGGGACACAATTTACAGTTACTTGCGTCCCTTGTGCTGATGTCTCTTCTTTTAGGTGAAATCCTCCCCAGTCCATGAACCCCCCTAGCCCCTGCTGTCCCAATCTTCCGGTGTGGCGTTGGGTTAATAGAACTAAGGGGCTGTCACAGGCTGTCCTCAAGTGAACCCAACTATGCCTTTCTAGTCTGCCCAGCTCCTCCATTCATAGAAGCCATGCTACAGTTTCAATGAATTGAAACAAAATGAATTGAACGTGATCCAGGGGCGGACTGACAACTCTTGGGGCTCCCGAGCAATAGGGGATCATGGGGCCCCTGTGTCCTTGCCCAAACTCAAAAAAGCCTATGAAAAAGGTACCAGGGGCATCTCTTGGGGCCCCCTACTGACCCCGGGCCCTCGGGCAGTGCCCGAGTTTCCAAATGGTCAGTCCGCCCCTGACGTGATCTATAAATTGAGGGCACGGACCAGTCATCCGCTGTCCTCCATTCTTCGATCAGATTTCATTTATAGAAGTTGTAGCACGGCTTCTATGAATGGAGCAGCTGGGTATAAAGGATGGGCATAGTTGGTATTTTTTGATAAGATCCTGTGACAGCCCCTTAGTTGTATTAACCTTATCACACTGAAAGAATATAGCAGCATGGATGGGAGGACACGGGCAGAAAAGGATATCAACTAAAAGAAGAGGCATCAGCACAAAGGAACACATCCTATTGCCTGTAAGTTATGTCCCTTATGCTGATTTTTTTTGTTTATTTATTTTGGCAGCACTTAGGTTTTAATGATATAACTGATAGAATTCAGTACAGTCCTAGCATCATTTTTCTGGTTGTATGACCCTTAAAAAATGGCCTGGCCAGATTAGAAAATCCCGGCTGCCCATTTTGGTAGCTTTACTGACAGATTCAAATAGTTCCTAGTTGACGCTCTCTACAAATTCCCTGAATAGGTTTCAGATTAATCAGAGAAGGTTTACCCCAGATGTATCATTCATAATTTATGAATCAGAAGTGATGAATCACTGGAAAACACACCTAGCTTCATACTGTTCCCTCATATAATAGTAATAGAACAATGGGCTGACTTCTGTTTTACCTCAGGCCCTTCGCAGGTGCAGTATTCTTGTCAGCAACAACCTTTTTTTTTAACAATTGCCGTGAAAATACACAGGTGTTATTTTCAAATTGTGACAGTGGGTGTGCTGAGAAGATCCCCGGCCTGCTGTCACAATTAGCAGAGGGATCAAGGGGGAAGGCTGCAGGAGCGGGAACATTTAACATGTTCCCAAAGGTGAACTTATTCATACATGGCTCAGTTTTTTTGTTCAGTCAGCGGGCTGAATAAAAAATAAACTGAACTGATTTCTCTATCCACACATTCAAGGTGGATGGGGAAATCCTCCACGCTGGAGCAGGACTCCAAATTTTACAACATGTTTGTTCACAAAAAGTGGATTTCATGAGAGGAAATGGCAATAGATGGATCGAAACTTGGCCAGTCCCTGTTGAACTGGCCCAATTTCAATCCATCTATGACCATCTTTAGAATCAGGGCCTGTTCACAGCAGCAGCTGTGTTAGAATGCAGCCACTGGTGTGTGATGTGATAACAGCAGTGCCGACCGGTCTGTTTCCTTTTTTCTTGTGCAAACTTTATTGAAATGTCACAAAGTGATATTTCATTAAGTCCTATGGGCTGCACCATGGTGTATTGAGGTGGATTGCCTTGTGCCACGCTGGACTGAAAAAATATTAATGCACACTGTACTTCATTTCAGCACAAAACAGCAAGCAATGGTGAACTGGTCTGAGTGGGAGCTGGGCTTTTTGCTTTGTCATGCATTGGGACTGTACTGGGTAAGGCTGTCCAGAGAAGTCCCAACAGACTTGGTGTGAAAGGGCCCTTAAAGTGAACTTGTGTTTTGTATATACAGGATAAAGTAATGGGTTTATTTTAATGCTGGACAATTAAGCAGGTTTTACTCCCTTGCCTGCTGACAACACTAACACGCAGGTACTAGATGCCACATGTCTGCCTGGGTCTCCAAAAATTTGCTTCCAACACCACAGTTCCTATTGGATTGTTAACAAGCAATCTTGAGCCCGGATGAAGTGGGATGTTTTGGCCCCTGAAATGCATTGGCTATTCCTTTTCTACTGGTAGTGATTTTGCTATCAAGAATAAAAGATATATGGACTTTTACTTGAATATTTGGCTCTTGGTGCCTTTTCTTTACCCTCCTCCTATGTGCCAGGGCTGATTCTTAGCAAATGGCTGAACAGACACCAGCGTTGTTACATGGTAGAGGGTGGCAGGACAGCCCTTATCCCTGTGTATGCTCCCACTAGGATCAATGTGGAGCTTACAAAGGGATATTTGCTCCCAGAAGAGGAAAGCGGGGTGCAGAAATAAAGTGAATGTAAGTATAATTTTCTACAGAAGCTCACTGTAAAGCATTCCTGTTGCTTCACTCTCTGTAAACATACACCAACTTTAATATTGGTTACAATAAAAGAATATGGACAGATGAGATTATCCTAAAGAATCTGCTAATTAGTAACAAGGGCTCCTATCTGATGGTTAGGCAGATCTAAAAAGTCAAAGAAAAGTTGAGTCTTTTTCTGTATACTTATTCGGGGGTCAGTGACTCAAAGTTTTGAAGAAGACTACAGAAAGTGAAGCCTCTCTGTTTTCTCCATGATAGGTTTCCTTTAAAAGAAGGTAAGAATGATCAGGAAATGATATAATATTCAAAGTTTTGCAAACACAATGGGAGCTTCTGTTGTATTTTCTGTTGTAGCTATGCCAACTGTGTCTAGTGAATAATTCAGAATGGCTTTCTGCTTTATCTATTATGTTTTGTCCTTTCACAGATCAAGCAGATATCTAAAGGTACAGCTACTGATATCCACTACTGGATAGGAAAGGACTCCACTCAGGATGAGCAAGGGGCAGCAGCACTCTACACAACCCAACTGGATGAGGCGTTGGGGGGGAGCCCAATCCAACACAGAGAGGTGCAAGGACATGAATCAACCACATTTAAAAGTTACTTCAAGAATGGAGTTATGTAAGTGACTTGAAATGTTGTTCACATCAGGCAGAGTGATTTTGGAACTCATATGTGGATGATAGTACACAGAGTTCTGTAGGACCCTGGGTTTCCTCCAAAGGTTTGAAGGGGTTCCTTGAGTAATGACAAACTTATGCCTCTCAGATGAATAACCTCCGGCACCAATGATCTTTTTAACTATCTGTAAGGAGGGGATTCTTCCCAAAGGCCGCGAATGTAAGGAGCATTCTTTTCACTGACCATCGCACTAATAGTATTGTTTATTTTTCATTATGGATAGAAGTCACATAGGGAGATTTCCCTCCTCTATTCCTGGCTGACCATAAAAGCATGTTTTCTGGATTTCTTCACAGAATCACAAGTAAAGTGTCCTTCTTTTATATTATAAACCTTTCAATAACGTTTATATGCTAAATAGTGCATCTTTTAAGAAGCTACTATTTTGCTGAGCTTTGCCACTGTCTGGATGTCTAGAAAACATGACCTGTTGGTGGTCACCTATTACCAAAGTGGAAAAGACTTGGTCTAGTGTAGTGGTGTTTGGCTTTGGTCCACTGATAGTACCACTTTTCCCCCTCTCCGTGGCAGGGTCAGAGCTGCAGTTACTAATAACTTGCATAAAATATTGATACTAATGATCCCAGACATGTGCGTGATAACAGCAGAAGAAAATTACAATTAGGAAGCTTTGAGGGTTTGAAATGAACACTGCTGGCCTAGTGTACCCTTCATGTAATTTAAAGCCCAATTCTAGCCAAAACATTGAATTTTGTTTTGGATAGAATGGGGAAAGTTTTCGTCTCCCTGCTGGGGAAATTTCTCACTCTTTCTCTGTCATTGGAAATCTACCCAACAATGACACAGAAAATAAAACAAAAAATACATTTTTAGTAATATAAGGAAAGCTTTGAATTTCTTACAGTGCTTTTGTTATCTATGTCTTCCCATTCAAGTGACAGCTAGACTCCTCCCCCATTTGTTAGAGGCATCACAGAGACAGGAAGTAAGGGGAAGTCTCCCCAGTGGTTAGCAGAGACAGAAATAGAAACTTGGAATACATTTGACACCATAGCTAAAAAGGAAAAAAAATGTCCAAAGTTAGTCTTTAAGCAAGCTGACAATAATAGAACAGCATGTTACCGCCTAAAGCTGAAAAGAGATGGACTCAGCCCACCCCACCCAGAAGTCATTTTTTAGTTTTAGGGTTAATCTGGGTGAATGAGTCACTCACTAGCTTTTTATATCTCTTAGAGTCTCCAATGGTGAGAATAACTCATGTCTCTGTTTTCACCCAGCTCAGAGTTTAGGAGATTATTCTCCTCATAAAGTACTGTCCATAGTAGAGAATAAGTTAATGCACTTCTTCATAATTGCTGTGGCATACATGTACAAGTTGGGAACCCAACCACAGTGATCTAGTCACCTGAAATTCTGACCAGGAAACCCTTGGACAGTTTATCTCTCCAACTGCAAGCAAGACCTGAAACATGAGCTTTGAGTGGACTAATCCTTTAACAACACTAAAGTTAAAGTGATACTAAACCCAGGACCCTGCATTCGTTATATCTGGTCTCCCACAGTACACAGAACATGGAACTGCAATTATTTTAGTAAATAGAAACTGCTAAATACATTTTCTCATCAGCAATTAGAGCAGTCTTGTGACTTCTATCAGTGTCCAGCCAAGCACTGGTTAAAGCTTGTAGGAGTTTTAATTTTCCTCTAGGAGGATGCAGGGCCCCTGACCTCTGTCTGGACAGTGCTGATTGGCCCTGTGCTAATCACATGCACTCTCCCAAGAAAATAAAAAATCTCTCTAGCAATAAACACCAAACTGAGCATGTGCAGAGTGACTACACAAGATATGTCTTATCAGGAGATAAGAGGGGGGCAATGGAATAAGGGGAAGATCAGAGAAGTCAGGATCAAACAGCATTTTTACACAATGCAGAGGATTAACCCTTTAGGTTCCACAGTGAGCATAACAAGCATGCTTTACTGCATATACAGACTGATTTTACTGTTGTGGGTTTAGTAACACTTTAATGTTGCAAATTGCTTAATGTAATTCCAAGTAAAACTGGGCTCTACCATCTGTGTCCTGTTATTTATGTAATAGTGTTTAAATAGGTTGTCCATATCCTGTCAGTACATAGTGTGGATTTGCTATCATTCATTGAAATTATTTTCCATTCCTGTAATCATAGCTAGCCTTCACTATGTGCTACCTGTCCAATCACACAAAGGGTCATCTTTGCATAGCGCATCATATAACCTAGATTAGTCTGGTATATAATTATTTTCTGTTAAAATATGCTATAGATTGAGACTTTTCATAAAACTTTTGTTTTCCTTCCACCTCCCAGATACAAGAAAGGAGGAGTCGCTTCGGGATTCAAACATGTGGAGACAAATATGTACAATATTCGACGTCTGCTTCATGTGAAGGGCAGGAAACATGTCACAGCTACAGAGGTGCGTGTCTAATGTGTTCTGTATTTCCTTGTCTCACAGTTCTGGCATAACAGAGAATGTCTTGAAGAAATGTCCTCGTTGCACATAGAAACCAACCATCTATGCCCATAATAACCAGTCATCACTGCCTATGAGGAGGTATTGTATGCTGCCAGTGGAGGTGAATGATGAAAAGAAATCCCAAAGGGTCTGATCATTCAACAATTGACCATGGGTTATCCCATTAAACTAGACTAATAGCCTGTATGGACAGGGCTTTGTTTGCATCAGATCTGTTTTGCATTCCCATACAAGTCTATCGGAATGTAAATCAAGCTTGAATGAGGTGAACTGCAACTGTCAATGAATTCTCAATGATCACAGCAGCATCTCAAACTGATGCCATCCACACAAGCTCAAAGCCCATTGACACGGGGCCTTAAAGGATAAGTTCACCTTTCCACAATAAACAATAAATGCACATTTTTTTGAAGGTAAAAAATGTACATTTATTATTTTTTGTGTTAGGAACAGGGGCGGACTGACCATTTGGAAACTCGGGCACTGTCCGAGGGCCCGGGGTCAGTAGGGGGCCCCATGAGATGGCCCTGGTACCTTTTTCATAGGCTGTTTTGAGTTTGGGCAAGGACACAGGGGCCCCATGATCCCCTATTGCCCGGGGGCCCCATGAGTTGTCAGTCCGCCCCTGGTTAGGAGCCTGTAAAGCATTGCAGCAGCGATCAGTAGATCGCTGATGCCATGCAGGTCTCCTGCACACTGTCAGTATATCTGCTTGCTTATACATCCTGTATAGGCAAGCTGATATTTGCTGACAGGAAGAATCAATGAACTACCACAGCGCTCCATAGCTCCATTATCCTTTACAGTTGAAATCCTGGCAAACAGCTAAATAGACAGATGAAATACATACAGTATATGGAAGCTATTTTGCTTGTCCAAAGATGGTTTGGACAAATGATCTGACAACTGGTGGGAGAATATTCAAGAAGCATCAGGAGAGGTGGAGGAACCAGATATCCACAGAAAGAATAAAGCAGAAGCAAGGAGATCTTTGCTCTCAAGGTCTTTAAGTACAGCTTCCTCTCCAGCAAGAACAGTGAGCACCTCAGTAGTGACATCACCAAATCTCATTCCATTTCTCATGAGACTTGAGGCATAGTGCTGTAGATGATCTCACACTGCAGATACTGTCGTTGGGTCTTGGCATTTCCATTTTTGCATATCTTTGAAGCGTTAAGCAGGTGGATCAGGAGAGACCTCTTGTACCTGCCCCTAGAGAGCAGGGTAAGGTGGAATAAATGTGACTCCAGCTTCTCTTCCAAGACTATGGGTTTGATTTACTAAAACTGGAGAGTGCAAGCTGTGCATGGTAGCCAATCCGCTTCCAGGTTTTTTTGTCAAAGCTTAACTGAACAAACTGAAGTTAGAATCTGATTGGCTACCATGCACCAGAGTTTGCACGCTCTAGTTTTAGTAACCTCTATGTGTGTTTAGTTTGAAAATCTTATCTCTAATTGAGTTCCAGAAGGGATGTAGGCAGGGGAAAGACCAGAAGATATCCAGTAGGGGCCTATTTTACCACAGACTGGGAACCCAGTAATAGTGTGTCAGGACTGACAGCCGTGTCCTGAAATTTGGTGGTGATGGAAGCCCAGTGGGAGAAATTCAGAATTTGTTTTCTCTGTTTATCCGTAAAATTCTGACCCAAATCTCATTCACACTTTTGAAGAAAGGATGACACATAGCTGTTGTGTGGGTTGGTCAGCAGGGAATAGGAGATAGAGATTATGTGTCTCAAGGAGGTAGTATTTAGACAGTGTTTTTCAATAGATGTACCATATCCCTGATCTCTTCTGTTGTACCTCATCAGTTTCGCCCTGATGAAATGGCAAATTCTGAATTGGTTAGTCTGAATGAAGGACCCAGACCCCTCTTTAATAATGCATAGAAGTGAAAGCTAGGTAGGATTTCTAGCACTTAAAAAGCAAGTAAAACATAAGCAGCACATTTTAATGTTTTGTTAGGTTGTTTTAGGGTAATGGGAACATGTAACAAATATGAAGTCCCAATTTGGCTGCAAAAATGTGTAGGCAGGTACAGTTTATCTGCCATTCTGCAGTTGGCAATGTGTGTTTTGTGCCACTGTGCAGAAGGAGTGGAGGCTGGGAGGAACATTGTTTCTCTGCAGAGGCTGTACTTATGATTAGGGGAGTGGTGGTCCGACTGGACACTGCAACACTGGACGACCTCTGGTGGCCATCTTTAGTATGGGCAATGCTAATAAATGGCAGTGACCTGCCATATTTGGCATACACTTGTGAGTGGCTAGAGTAGAAACCATGCTTTTAAGTAACAGTGAATTAGCCCTAGGGAAAGGAATCTGTTCTAGAAGGGAGAGATTAGGGACACCGCTGTATGCTCTGCTATTCACCAGTCTCTGGAATTACTGCATAGAAACAGTGCCACTTGTGGCACCACTCTGCCAGGCAGCCATCCCACTTGCAGATGCCACCCCGGTTATGTAGGTTATGCCTGTGATACACCTTGTAGTGAAATATCTATACTGTTGTACTGCAAGCATGACTTTCACTGTCAGCATTACTGCACCTGTCAGTGTCAAGTAACTGGAAAAACTGTTACCTCCAGTGTTCTCCCACAGTTGCTACTACCATATTACCAGTGCTAGTGATTACAGATTGCCTTTGTATCTGTTTTATCTGCAACCCATCAATACAATAACTCTTCAACCTTTTTTTTCTGGACTTTAAGTGTTGTTCCTTCAACTTGGGTACTGACCTCCTGGACACGTCCACAATTGGAAATTTGCTTTAAAGTACCTATAGCAATTATTGATCAGGAGGACTTTACTGTAGATACCAGCTTAAATAATGAATATATTCTGCTGACTACAGTGGGCACTCTACAGCAGGCCTTAAAGATAGACCATTGTTCTGCAGAAATAACAGCAGCACCAGGAGTATCATCCTCTGGAACTCTCTACCCCAATTTATCAGACTATCGCCTACTCTGCTCACTTTTAGGCGATCTCTGAAAACCTATCTCTTCAGGGAAGCCTATCCTGCCCTCAGCTAATAATTGGAATCTTCTACTCTTCCAACCAGTCCATCCCCCACAGTTACTACCTTTTGTACCACTAGCCCCTCCCTCCTAGATTGTAAGCTACAAGGAGCAGGGCCCTCCTATCCCTCTTGTATTGAACTGTATTGTTGCTGTATTGTCTCCCGTTATATTGTAAAGCGCTGAGCAAACTGTTGGCGCTATATAAATCCTGTATAATAATAATAATAATATTGCACAAAGAAGTTGGAAACTAAAAGCTTCAGATGTATAAGTGTTTGGCCATTGTGTACAGTATGTGGCCTTCTATATAAATATAATGAATATTTAATTTCCTCTAGTATATCAAATATTATTTGCATTTCATAGAACTCAGTTTACTTGTTTTGTGGATTTAATGCACAAGCTTTGGTAACAATACAGTTATTGTTCAGTCTTTGCAATGCACTGTACTGAATTCCTTGTGGAAATAATCTTTCCAATGTGTTTATCTAGTCAGTGGGATGTTGACTACAGTATCATGTTTGTTTTACCGAGGGCATGAGGTCTGGATCTGTTTCAATTCAACCTCTGTTGTATTGGCTTTATTTCATGTTACGTTTAAGATTCTCAGCAGCACAACTACTGCTTGCAGGGATACTGAAAACGTATTGCTAAATAGATAACTGAAAATTTAAGTTTAAAAAAAAATGTTTTTGGCAAAATATCGAAGACCTTAAAGTAGGACTGAAGGCAAAACTTTTTTTGTTTCATTTTTGATAGAGTAAAAGCCTATTTACTGTATCAGTGGATAACTCTTCAGAGATTACCCTTTACTTTGCTCCAAAGTGAGAGAAATCCCTGGTAGTCACCAGGGTCACCAGAATTAGTGTCTCCAGTGGAAGATGTTGCCTCTATTCATGTTCTGGTGACAACCCAAAAATTGGAATTGTCTTTCGCTTTTGGTGATAACAGTCACCAGGACAATTAGAGAGTGTGAATCTTCCTTCCAGGGGCATAGACAGCAATAAAAACCTGACAGGGGGTCTAATTGCTTTCATTCTATCCAAAATTAAGAACACATTTTTCCCTCAGTTTAGGGCATTACTAAATCCTTGTGCTAAGACCCATTTTCAACTTTTATAAATGCTCATCTCATTATTTATTATGCAGAATTAGCTTGGGAAACATTTCTTTTAGGCTACGTTCACACTAGCGTTGTGTGCAGGCGGCAGAGCAGAGAGGCGTTTGGGAAGCGTTTTTTACCGCTTCCCAAACACCTCTGCCAATTCTGCACATTACAGCACATGGTGCTGTTCTAACGGGAGCGTTTGCGTCGCGTCGCGGCAAAACAGACGCCTCTGGTCGAGTCAGGAGGCGTTGAAGCCTCCTATTCTCGTCTATGGTGCTGCTCCGCAAACGCCCGGCCGGCGTTTTCGGTGCGGTTACGACGCGGTTGCGGGGCATTTGCAGAGTGGTAACACCACTCAAACTGCATTATAGGCATTTGTGGAGCGTTATTAACGCTCGGCAAACGCCTAGCAACCTCCGCTAAAACGCGCATGCAGAGTTTGCGGAGCATTTGCAGAGCGTTAAAAACGCTCCGCAAACGCCGGACCAATGCTTGCCAAACGCTATAGGGGCGTTTGGCAAGCGTTGGTAAAACAGCTAAGTGTGAACGAGCCCTTAGTGTTTTTTGGATCTGCTCTGCAAACCTCAGCAGTGCTGTCCGGAACTTCTGGCTTAGAGGATTGAGCAATGAACATGTAATCATAGTCACCTGCACTACTACCCTTAGATTTGATGTCCCATGATGATTTACACTTGTGTTCTGAATTGTGTGTGTGCGATTCCTGATTATTTGTAATTTGTTTTCTGTTTCCTGGTCCTGCTCTTATCAGTATGGCTGGGAGAAGTGCTGTGAAGGAAACAGCTTACTTACT